AGTTAGTGCGTGCCAAAAAGATGAAATGGCACACCGTTAGTGCATGCCAAAAAGATGAAATGGCACACTGTTAGTGCGTGCCAAAAAGATGAAATGGCACACAGTGCGTGACAAAAAGATGAAATGGCACACAGTGCGTGACAAAAAGGTGAAATGGTTCAGGTTTAACGGCCCTATCAACACTGTTAGGTTACTTAAGAGGCGGGACCTCCGAGTCAAACGTCCATCTCTGAAAGGACCGAGCCTAGTGGGTAATTTGTGTAAAGTGTCTTTCCCGAGGACACAACGCCGGAGCAAGCTGAGGCTCGAACCTCCAAACCTGCAGTCTCACGCACGATCATGAGTCTAGTTGCCTAACCACTTGGCCGCCGAGGCCACCCAGTCTGTGCATGTTGTTATCAGATATATTTATGATTTCTCGAAGAAGCCCACTTGGGCCGCTGGCTGTTGAAAGTAAGTAAGTTTATTCAGTGTTTAAGGCCATTGGCCCACATCACACTATATAAAACACTCATTTGTTAGATTTCTAAATAAATTTTCTGTAATGAAAAAGTACAGGTTGTGCACATATCTCTTTTCATGGGTCAGATATTGCATATTTCTGTCACTGGGCCCAGTCAGGCTGGGAGGAATTAGCAATTTCCTTTGATGGACAAATTATGGATAATAGAAAATAAAGTGAAATTCATCTTCAATTTCAGGGGATTTACACCTTTCACATAAGGGTGAATTTATTAATTTATGGAGATTGTTATTGAATGGAAGGCTATGAGTTTTTCTCAAGGCTATGACTCTTCTGTTGCAATACCCTGGGAGTTCTTCCAACACTTTGAGAAAATCAGGTGTATCCAATACCCAGGGAAAATAATAGGTTTTTAACTTCTGCAGCCCTGTTGCCTCTGCCTGCTGGCTGTTATAAAAGACCTCAGTCAAACAGTGTGTCTCCCATTTCTTAGTGTTATTATAACTGAAATTATAAAGCACAAATTAATGCCCAAACTCTCCCATGCGTACAAATCCAACCAGTAACATCAGATTGAGTAACATCTCGCTCTCATCCTGTCTCACTGGGCGTATTGATTGTCAACAGAAAATAGGATTATCAAGTTGCAACATGGAAAAGTGGTACTGATTAATACACTTCCTGTGTGTTAATCCACGAGAAAATATAGTTCCGTGGGTGGTTGGTGGGTAGTGGGTGCTCTGGTGTGGTTTGCTTCTTTCCTATCAAACATCTATCGTCCTTATCTCCCGTCCTTCTTTTTTATGTTTGTTACTCTCTTTCAACACCTCTAATCTTCTGGCGCTCATATGACCTTATGCAGTTGCGAGCGCCGTAAAACCTCTACTAAAACAAAACTATATAGTTCCAGACACACTGTTTGACCCCAGTTGTAAACTATTAGGATGTGACAAATTGGCTACCCCACGGGGCAGTGCCACTGACTGAAGTCTTTAGGCCATTCCCAAAGGGGGGACATTTCTCGTTCTTATGCACAGTTGAATTGTAAATGGGCTGATTCATCAATGCCACGCTCATAACTGTGCCTGATCTACAACAGGGAACTGCTGCTTTTTCTTTCCTGATCCTTACCTATCGTCATTTACCTCTACTTCTTTTGTATGTTTGTCACACTCTTGTGACCTGCTATTTCCGGGGTGCCTTGATAGTCGAAGCAGACTTTGTGCTGTTGAAGCTAGAGAGGTGAGCAGAGTAAGCCTGATTCCCTGTTTGGACTTCTCTGCTGACATCCACCCCTCGGCGCTCATATGACCTTATGCAGTTGCGAACGTTGTAAAAAGCTTACTAAAACAAACCGACAATTTCAACTGTATTTTTATTTTCTTTTGGTCCAGGTCCCCTGAAGAATGTGACCAACATTACCACGGTAATGGATACGGTCAGCAGTACGTTGACCGTCTCGTGGAAGCCCGGGGAAACTTATCTCAAGGACAGCGAGGTTAAGACGCTGGTGGACTGGAGCCCCCAAGCAAAACCTGACTCGAGGTGACTGCGCAACGGATGTTAAGAAAAAATGTGTCTCGTGGTGGTGGAATCAGGCGCTTGTCAGTTTTTGGGGGCATATGGAGTTCTTGGTATCGTCTTAAAGCTTGTTCATTTGTTTTTCTTACGATGAAACAAACACCTATTTATCTTGAATATAGTGTGACGGCTGCATATGGCCTCACATAAAAAAAAATTAATACTTGAAAGAAAGACAAAACACAGCCGCTCTCTCGCCTACCTGCCGGTGAACTGATTTTATTAGTGTTTAGTTTACACTGAAGTCTCGTGGGAATCCCAAAACGAGACGAAATGTGACGTATCAAGAAGAGGATATAATTGTGATATTAAAGAATCATTATTTCAACATTCGAAAAATAGTCCCTTCCCATTTTTACATACATCAGACATACATTACAAATAGAAGTCGAAATATTTGGTACTGAAGCTGGCGGGGGGTCGCCTGATTTCAGAGGTGAAAGTAACGAGGAAATGGCCGCCAAAGTTTGGTGACTTGCATAGTTTGAGAGTGCTTGGAAACTGTAAATCTACATTTTTTTGTCTTTTTAAGTCAATGTTTTTCTGTAAAATCCCCTCCAAAATGTGTAAATGGACACAAAGGGTGTTTAGTCAAAGGACAAAAATTTGATGCAAAATGTCAAAGCAGGGGAAAAATGCAGGTTTCTCCGATTTCACTTTTGAAAAGATATTTTTTTGGGTGGTTAGTGTTTTACGGCGCTCACAACTGCATAAAGTCCCTGCTCTCTAGCAATATTCTGTTGTCTGCTTTCGCCTCTACTTTCTGGCCCCACCCCCTCACCTCCTTTACCCCCTCCTCTGGGCTCCTTACTCTTTCTGCAGCCTTTCAACTGCTACTCCCTGAGGCTTCCTACAGCTGTCTTTCAGCCTCACTCCTGATCTTATGGTAGGAAAGATCTACACTTAACCTTCTCGGACAAGGGCGAAAAATCTCGGCGATCCTGTGTGCAAGTTGCGCACGTTAAAGATCCCTTGGTGGTCCGAAATCGCTAAGAGTAGGGTTGTGCCTCCACCCGGGGAAAAATTCAAAATTTTCTACCAACTGAAAATGTTTAATGTGTCCCGCGCGCTCATATGACCTTACGCTGTTGCGAGCGCCGCTAAACACGCGCCAACACAAAACAGCATTTACCATGACAGTTCTGTTTGTTTTTTGGTTTTTTTCCAGCCCTGGGAATGAGTGCACCCCTCAGAGCAGCACCTCCTGTAACGTCACGTTGAACGGCCAAAGCATTCTCTACCTGCGGTTCAACGTAACGCTGGACAAACTGAACAAACGGCCACATGCCCGAGATCTCAATTCTTCGCTTGACCCTTGGGCAGTGAGTGAGATCAGGCTGAAGCCCTACGATCATAGTAAGTCTTAGTTTAGTTTTAGTAAGAGTTTTATGGTGCTAGTAACACAAATAGGTCACATAAGTGCACAAGGGTTAGAGGTGTTTTTACAGAGTATTGTACATTGTGCAAGTAAGAGAAGGAGGAGAGATAAGGAGGATAGATGTTTGATAGGAAAAGAGGAGGCGAGATAAGGAGGATAGATGTTTGATAGGAAAAGAGGAGGCGAGATAAGGATGATAGATATTTGGAAAGAAGGAGGAGAGATAAGGAGCATAGATGTTTGGAAAGAAGGAGGAGAGATAAGGAGGATTGATGTTTGATAGGAAAAGAGGAGGCGAGATAAGGATGATAGATATTTGGAAAGAAGAAGGAGAGATAAGGAGCATAGATGTTTGGAAAGAAGGAGGAGAGATAAGGAGGATTGATGTTTGATAGGAAAAGAGGAGGAGAGATAAGGAAGATAGATGTTTGATGGGAAAAGAGGAGGAGAGATAAGGACGATAGATATTTGGAAAGAAGGAGGAGAGAAAAGGAGGATAGATGTTTGATAGGAAAGAAGGAGGAGTGATTTTTTTTATAGGAAAGGAGGATATATGTTTGATAAGAAAGAAAGAGCAAAGCACCCCAGAGCGCCTGCCAACCACCCACTTAAATTTTGAAGAGGAAAAGTTTGGTCACCTTTCATTTCACCTTTCACCTCTCATCTTCCACCTCATACCTCTCTCCTCGCGTCCTCCAAAGAAAAGGAGGAGAGATAAAGATGATGGATGTTTGATAGGAAAGAAGGAAAGATAAGGACAATAGATGTTTGATAGGAAAGAAGGAGAGATAAGGACAATAGATGTTTGATAGGAAAGAAGGAGAGATAAGGACGATGGATGTTTGATGGGAAAGAAGGAGAGATAAGGACAATAGATGTTTGATAGGAAAGAAGGAGAGATAAGGACGATGGATGTTTGATAGGAAAGAAGGAGAGATACGGATGATAGATGTTCGATAGGAAAGAAGGAGCAAACCATAACTGACCACCCGCCAACCACCCACAAGTCATTTCGGGACCTAGGTGTTTTCTAGTCCTGTCTATATTTTTTTTTAAAACATCGAAAATGTGACTTCTTCTTCTTGAGCTCACTCTTTGTTATGAACTGTGTTCACTGTTATGAAAAATGGAGATAGGACAAGAAAGCACTGAGGTCGCGATGTAATGAATTCTGTTCCTGCACTGAGGTTGCGATGTAATGAATTCTGTTCCTTTGGCTCATGACCGTAATGTATTATGTTGTCTCGCTGTTCAAATGTAAGTAGTCCAGAGAGCAAAATTTTCAGGAGACAGAAAAAGAAAATGATTGTTTCATTTAAAAAAAAAAAAAGAATTGTAGCAACATCATATATCTTTTTGAACATTTAGAATTTGAATTTCAACAAAATATTTTTTGAGTTTCTGCAACCGATATCACAGATTGAGAAACTGCAATAGGAAAAAAAACCTTAAAATTTGGGGGAACAAATTCAGAAACTACAATTAAAAAAAAAAAAAACTCAGTTAAAATTTGGGGGAACAAATTCAGAAACTACAAAAAAAAAAAAACTCAGTTAAAATTTGGGGGAACAAATTCAGAAACTGCAATTAAAAAAAAAAAACTCAGTTAAAATTTGTTGGAAAAAAATTACGAAACTGCAAATATAAGAATAAACTTTCGTTGAAATTTTTTTGTGGGGGGGGAGGGGGGGAAGCGGACCGGCTAGCTGATGATTTACTCTGTACCTGACGTGTAAGATAAGATAATTCTTTATTGTCCCAGAGGGAAATTTTTCTTGGCTGTACAGGACTGTAAAAACACATGCAGGTCATGGCGTACTGGCAGGGAAATTTTAGTTGTAGTGCGGGGGGGGGGGGGGTCCCTGCCCAGCTCCTTATCACGTCGGGGTCACGGGGGTCAGCTCCCTGTCTCCGCTCTGTCTGGGCTGACTTCATTTTTGGTACTTTTCAACGTACAGTTTTAGGTGCATCCTTGTATTTATGGTAATTATCACTTAATGCACTCAAAGCACGCATTTTTGCTCTTGTGACCCAAAAAACAACGGACATTGTATCTTGTCTGGTTATTTTGTTAGACGTGTTGAAGTTGGCAATGCTAAATTGTAAAAGTTTTTGGACAAGTGTGAATGAAAAAAAATCAATATAAAAAAAGGCATGACAAATACCGTCGCGCGTTTGGAACATGAACTACATAACATTGGTGCAGATACTCAGAAAAGATGGTATCTGCGCGTTTAATAGGAAGCTGTAATTTTGCAGCTTCATCCATCTGGCACACAATAGGCTATGAAGTAATTCTTCCAAATACAACTTTATGTGTCTAATATAATCGAGAATATTCGCTTATTTTCTCTATAGTTTATCAAAGTTACTCTGATGTCTCTCTATGAAAAAGTACAAACTGATTTTAGTGCCAGAATACATCTACAACAATGTACACGAACAGTAGGCTATCAGTTACACTCCATAAATTATTCCTTATTTTTCTTAAAACGCTAGATCTAGGTTTTGAAAGTTGACTGAATAATAGGGATGACTTCTCGATATTGTGTTATAAGAATCATTTCTAGCTTTCCAGTGACACTGAATCAGCACCAGGCTTTTCCAGCTTTTATTTTCGTTTCTATAACCATTTGCAATAACTGACAATGTTCTGATTTCTTTACATTCATAAGTGTCCGCGCATATCTCTGACACAAAAACTAAGAATGAATGTTAGCTGTCATTATTTTTATTCCATACAAGAAGTTCATATCTACCCATGTATTAACACAGTTTTGTGTTTTTAAAAAAATCTCATAATATATCTTTCTAAGTTGCATGCAGGCTGCCACAGGCACAGCATGATTCATGAACAGACACAGAGAAACTTTCTCTTGTTTCATGGTAAAACAAGACCTAACGCTGAGTGTCTTTAGCTAAAAAAATGCAGATGTGCATCTTTCTTCTGTTATAACTTGACTATTACTACTCGTGCAGATTTAATATTTCTCATAGTAAAAGACATGCTATTCCTAGTCAGTTTACACAGATTTTGGAGAGATCTGTCGTGCTGTTTTAAAATAAACGATCATCTATTCATAAGTATGTAACTAAAATAGGACATATTGGGTACTTTACAAACACTTATCTAGAACAAAAACTTAGGCACAGAAATTAACCATTCTAGCGCAGAATAAATCTAAAGACATTGAGCTTTTAGAACATGCGCATAATAGTTTGCTATGTGGAATGGGGAAGAAGTTATATCATTTCAAAAGTAGACAAAAGTGCAAATTTCTTAACCGACACCGGCAAAGTCGCTTCAGGGCTCATTGACCCCGCGCCCCCGAGCCGGGGAGCTCCAGCGGGCTGCTGAGTCACGCTGACTAAAGGTAACAGAATTGGGAAAAAAGTGACGCCGTGAGGTATACATAAAAATGTAAATTATGTGTTACTCTCATAAATATTCAATGTGAAAAGAGAAGTAAAGCTGACAAAATGTACATTCACTCACATCAGATGCACCATTCAATCACGTGGAGCAATTTAATTACAAGACCTATAGAGTTATATAGATGCACACTCGAAAGAACAATACACATTGATGCTAATTTTGACAATAGCCTCATGCTAGATGATAAAAAAAACTTTTATGTCTTTCTTTCTTTGCTATTAGAGGTACATATTTGCCGCTGCGTGATCTTACAATTTACATGGAAAGGGGGTGTGATGTGGTGTCAGTGGCTAGTGGTTAGGCTACCAGACTCGTCATCGTGAGGTTGTGTGTTCGGGGGTTCGAGCCGCGGGCCTGACGACGTTGTATTCTTGGGAAAGACACTTTTAACGAATTTTCCTACCAACATAGAGACTGTCTGAAAAGACTGAAGGAGAAAGAGCATGCGCCAAATGCAAGCATCTCTCTCTTTGAAGATGACTTCACACTCACTGAGCTCAACAGAGCAATGAAGAAACTGAAGCCCCGCAAATCCCCAGGACCAGATAAGATTCACAATGAAATGCTTGTCAACCTCAGTCCCATTGGTAAGGGTTATATTCTCCAGCTGATCAACAAGACGTGGAATGAAAACACCATCCCCAGAGCATGGAGAAACGCTATCATCACACCCATTCTCAAGAAAGGAAAACCTGCTGAAGAAATGAAAAGCTATCGACCCATTTCACTCACCTCATGCATCGGGAAACTAGCAGAGAGAATGGTCAACCACCGCCTATACTGGTGGTTGGAAACAACCGGTGCCCTGGACAGCAACCAAGCAGGATTTCGTGCAGGCCAACGAACAGATGACCAGCTCTTCAGGCTCAGTCAGAAAGTCCTTGATGGCTTCCAGGAAAAGAAGCACACAGTTGCAGTATTCGTCGATCTCCAGCAAGCCTACGACAGGGTTTGGAGAAAAGGCGTCCTGTGGAAGATGACACAGACAGGAATCCACGGGAAACTCTACAGATGGGTGAAGACCTTCCTTACAGACAGGACAATCCAGACCAGGATTAACAATGGGGTGTCATCCAAAGCTGTACTGGAGGAGGGCCTACCCCAGGGTTCCTCTTTGAGCTGCACACTTTTCCTTGTTTTCATCAATGACCTGCCTGAGACACTGAAATCAGAGAAGGCCCTATATGCCGACGACCTAGCCATCTGGCATACAAGTAAACAAGCTGGCATCAGTGCACGGCTTATAAATGAGAATCTAGATAGATTCAACAACTACTGCTGCAAGTGGAAACTAAAAGCAAATTGTACCAAGACAATCTACACCGTCTTTACAAAAAGCCACAAAGTTGTAAAGCAAAATCTCACCATCTTACTTGCAGGAAACAAACTAGAAAAATTTGAAAACCCGACCTACCTTGGGATCGAGCTGGACAGACAGTTCTCATGCAAAAACCATATCTGGAACCTGAAGACGAAGGCCAACAAGAGACTTAACCTTCTCAGACGACTGGCTAGCACTTCATGGGGAGCGGACAAGGATGCACTCAGACAGCTATATGTTGGCTATGTACGATCTGCCATGGAATATAACCTAACTTTACAGACAATCTGCAGCAAACCAACTCAGAGGTCTCTTGACAAAATTCAAAACCAAGCTGTACGATTTATCTCCGGAGCTTTGAGATCCACTCCAACTGCAGCTTGTGAAATCCACACGAACCTGGAACCCCTGGACTTGCGGAGAGAGGCAGCTGTAGTAGAGATGAGTGAGCGCTACAAAAGACTGGAGAAAAACCACCCAAACAGGAAAATAATTGAACAGAGACGACCAAAGAAACGGATTCATGGAAGATCAATACTTGACACAGCCACTGAACTAGCAGAAAAACACCATCTTCCATGTAACAGAGAAATGCTGAAACCTTTAAGACCAGAACTCCCCCCAAACACTAACATCAAGAACGCCAACATCAAAACCTCCCTCATAAAAGAGACAGTGAAAAAGGAATGTGACCCAGTAGAACTGAAGACAACAGCTCTGAAGACAATTGACTCCTACCCTAGTGATTCAATTCATATTTATACAGACGGGTCAGCCTTCAAGGGAACTATAAACGCAGGCTTTGGGGTAAGAATTGAACATCCTGACAAAACATGTGAAGAGCTATTTGACGCATGTGGTACTTCTTGTACAAATTACGAGGCTGAGGCCATCGCCATTGAAGCAGCAATCCTCCATCTGACCAACATTTTCATAACATATCCAAACAAAATCAAGAACACTATTATCTTCACAGACGGAAAGTCAGTACTCCAAGCTCTGGAAAACATGAATCTCGAAAGCCCAGCCTGCCTATCTGTGGCTCAAACAATCAACACCTTCCTACAGACCTATGCCGTCGACCTGACACTACAGTGGATACCTGGCCACAGCAACATCCCAGGAAACGACAGAGCAGACACCCTTGCCAAGAAGGGAGCATCACAAACACAACCACACAACCCAGTATCACAACAGACAGCCAAGAACATCATCAAATGCAACACCAGGGAACAGTGGCTGAATGGATGGGCAATGGGCAAAACTGGAAGAACTGTATATGCACACATGACAGCCCCCAACTCTAAAGATGCAATAAATTCCCTGAGTAGAAGAGAACAAGTCACAATATTTCGCCTGCGAACACAACACATACCACTAAACTCCTACCTTAATAGGATCCGCAAGGATACCCTACCCGACTGCCCGTTGTGCGACTGCCAGGATGAAACAGTACCCCACCACCTCTTTAACTGCCCTGCACTTTGTGACCTGCGTAGCACCTACCTACCTGCCTCCCCAGACATCGGAAACACTCTATACAGCGACAAAGCACAGCTGATTAAAACCTGTCAATTCTTTGCCACATCGACAGACCGAAGGGCGAGAACCAAAATGGCCGCTGGATCGGAAAAGTAAAGTAAAAGTAAGTAAAGAATTTTCCTGACTTCACCCGGGTGGGAATGGGTGCCCTCCCATAGACAGTGAAACATCAGTTTGTTAGTGTTTTAGCGCCTATAAATGGCTGCTTGCTCTGTATGCTTCCCAGGAAGTTGACTGAGTTTCAGAATGCTCTCAGGTCTGCTGGGGTAATAGTATAGATTGTGAAGCGCATAGACTTGCTGTTGAGCGAGGATTTGCGCTATACACATGCTATCTATTCTTGTTTTTATTATTATTATTATTGTTATTATTATTATGGGTCGTTAATAATGCTTTGTATCTTTTCTCAGTTCAACCTCAGCAGCCGTCACGTTTCCACAGCGCGTGGGAGAACAGCACGTGTGTGGGTCTGGCGTGGGTGGAGGACCCGTACTTCCTCAACAACAAGTCTGCATCACTCTACAGAGTGTCGGGGAAGAGGAAGGAGGACCAAGACATGCAGACGGTAAGTGTCGGACGGAAGTCGCTCTTCGAATCTGGGACGTCACTTATGAGGCGTTTTTTTGGTTTCGCATTTCACCGGTTTCGTCCTCCGCAAGACCTACACCTGCTGTTCCTGTGCTACATTTACCACCTCTATTTTCACCCATTTTGTGATTCTTTGTCCGGTCACGAATAGTATGAGTGCCCACACAAACACATCCTTCAATATTTGACTTAGATGATAACCGTTTTCAAGTAACACCCTTTGCCGCTGGGTGTGTCAAATTGTGGAGTCCCTTGCGTACTAAAAGAGTTAAAACAGTTTCTTTTACATTTATGTAAATGTATTTTTTACGCTCCCATCTACGTAATTTAGATGATTTTGTTTTGGTTTTGTTTTGGTTTTTTAAAGAACATGTTTGTTTTTTTACGCTCCCATCTACTCAAGTTAGATGCTTTTGTTTGGGTTTTTTTTCCAAAGACCATGTATTTTTTACCCTCCTATCTACACAATTCAGATAATTAAAAAAAAAAGTAATTGAGGTTTTTTTCCCCCTGTCAACTAGATTTAGATCATTTAGATGGCGCGATGGGCTTGCTCATGGTGACAGGTAGGGGCGAAAACACAGAGAATGCCAATTTCAGAGACTGACTCAGTAAGCGCCGATAGGTATAAAAATTCCCTTATGATTTCCAACTTGCCCCACATAGAGCTGGCAGACTGCAGGCAGCTTTTAGCACCGATCGGCGCTATCGGATTTATCGGAATCCAAACTACATTCTTATTACGCTGAAAAACTGGGAAGAGCGCCTGGCTGTCAACTCGTGACCTCAGAGCTTCCTTGTCGTATCTCCATTCTTTTAGGGGTGAACATGTGACTTCTTCTAAAGCTCATTATTTGTTATGAATTGTTTTCACTGTTAAAAATGGAGATACGACAAGAAAGCACTGAGGTCGTGAATTTTCAATGCCGTCTCGCCGTCGCAAACTCGGGTTTTTTACGGTTTGCGTGACGTCACCCGACTGGACTGGGGAAATATTAAATGGTCATTTCAGAGCTGGTGCTTCACTAATTACATTTTTGAAATTAGCATCGTCAAATTAGGGTGGCAACAGAGCAGAATTACATTTCAAGCAATATTTTAGGAAATTCGCTTCCCCTTCTGGGTTTCTTAATAAATGCTTCATCAATACCAGCTGTGTTGTGGTGGAATTTTTTTCTTAGATCTAGGTCTAGGCTTTAGGCGCCATCTATGTGGAGTCAAGCAGACACATACTGGCGCCTGTCAGCATCGATCTTCAGCTGATTAAGTTTCAGCGTTCTCTATGTTTTTGCCCTAGGGTCAGAAGTCCGCCTCCCTACTAAAAGACCTGACTTCCGTCAGTGGGGGCTTAAAAAACACCTAACCCCCGGGGCGGTGCTAGTGACTGAAGTGTCTTTAGGCCATTCCCAAAGGGGTGGGGGGGGGGGCCATTAACATTTCGAGTTCTTATGCACAGTAGAATTGTAATTGTAAATGGGCTGATTCATCAATGTCATACTCATAACTGTGCCTGATCTACAACAGGGAACTGCTGCTTTTTCTTTCCTTATCCTTACTATTGTCATTTTTTTCCTCTACTTCTTTTGTATGTTTGTCACACTCTTGTGACCCACGATTTCTAGGGTGGCTTGATAGTCGAAGCAGACTTTGTGCTGTTGAAGCTAGAGAGGTGAGCAGAGTAAGCCTGATTCCCTGTAAGGACTTTTCTGTTGACATCCTCCCTTTTGCGCTCGTATGACCTGCCTTATGCAATTGCGAGCGCCGTAAAACCTCTACTAAAACAAAAATCAAAACATAAAAAACACCTCCATTAAGATTTTTCTCTCTCCTGGTTGTGCCTCTAATTTTCAGCTCTTGTATTATGACCTAATTGTGCTGTTGCCTGGGCTGTAACACTCTTACTAAAGCTTTTTAAAAAGGAAGTGTCTACGCACTCTCCGATTGGGGTCTACGTAGTCATGGTGTCTAGGTGGACCCCAAAAATGTTGGATTGTGATTGGCTCGCTGAGCGAGCGGTAGTTTACATTGGTTACAATGCAAGGCTGCTGTTCATCTCGGGCGGTGTGTCGATCTAGTGTTACTATAATTTATTTATTTTAGCCCAGAGAGAGAGTATTTAATGAATAAACGTATCTAGATCTAGAATCTAAATCTAGACCGAATGCACACTCTTAGCTGGGTGCACAACAAAATCTAGATCTAGATACGTTTATTCATTAAATACTCTCTCTCTCTCTCTCTCTCTCTCTTTCTCTCTCTCTCTCTCTCCCCCTCTCTCTCTCTCTCTCTCTCTCCCCCCCCCTCTCTCTCTCTCTCTCTCTCTCTCTCTCTCTCTCTCTCTCTCTCTTTCTCTCTCTCTCTTTTTCTCTCTCTCTCTCTCTCTCTCTCTCTCTCTCTCTCTCTCTCTCTCTCTCCCCCCCCTCTCTCTCTCTCTGTCTCTCTCTCTCTCTCTCTCTCTCTCTCTCTCTCTAAAATAAATTAATTATAGTAAGACAAGATAAATCCAATCACTACCCGAGATGATCAGTAAGTAGGCCTAGCAGCCTTGCATTGTAACTAATGTAAACTACCGCTCGCTCAGCGAGCCAATCACAATCCAACATTTTTGGGGTCCACCTAGACACCATGACTACGTAGACCCCAATCGGGGAGTACGTAGACACGTCCTTTTAAAAAAGCAACAAAAAAAGACCCTTCCATCCAGCGCTCACAATTGTTTTTTTTGTTTTTGTTTTTTTCCTTTTTTTTTTCCTTGTGCAGCTGGTGCCGGAAATGGAGCGGGCGTACAGCGGCGATGTGGCGCGCGCGACTCTCTGCGGCCTCTTGCCCTACTCTGAGTACACCCTGAGGCTGAGCGTGAAGCCGATTGGTTCGGGCTACTGGAGCACCGAGGCGGAAGTGCGCACGCAGACGGAGGAAGACAGTAAGTCTGCCTATCTTTGAGCTGAGGGGGCATAAGAGAGGTGGTTGTTGTGATGTGGTTTGCTCCTTCCTTCCTGTCAAACACATATTATTGTCTTTATCTCTCCTTCTTTTCTTCTTCGTACGTTTCTCCTTTTTAATCCTTTAATGTTTAGCATTGTTTAACCTATTTGTGTTGCAAGTGCCGTAAAACTGTCACTGAAACTAAAACTCAGCCAGACCTCTGCTGTGAATGCTTTGTGTGTTGTTTGTTTTTACTGACATTAAAATTGAAAGGAATGTTGCCCCTTATGTCTCAGCTGAGTCGAGAAATGCTGTGTAGTTTTGTCTTATTGTAATTCAGCCTTATGACCTACACACTTTTCCTGGTTACTTATCAACATTCACAATATTTAAGCTGTCCACAACTACTGGAATCATGGCTCTGACATTCGAATGAAGTGTGATTTTTACGGATAATGGGTTTTCGTCTCATTTCTCTTCACCCGTCGTAAACGTCGAACATATTATTGTACAGTTTCTAAAATCATTGAGTTAATTACAGAAATATTTTGTACTGGGTTGTAACGAGACAGAGTGATGAGCGGAGTCGACAAGAGTTATGAAAAAACTTAACTTCAAAGAAGTAGTCGCTGCTGTTCAATATTCAGTGGTCACGTCATGACTAGCTTAAGGGGCCATTACTCTTGAAGCGCATCGGATGACTCTCCAAGAAATCAACAATTTGTAGGCTTTCACGATGAACCCCCCTTTCCTCTATTTGAAATTTGAAGGGTTGAGAATGATGCTGTGATGTCATAATATCGCACAGCATTCATGCCATCGCACGCTCTGTGAAAAGTGCTTTGAATATTGAATGAACGAATGTTGCTGATGGACTTTTTAATAAGCCAAAACATACGCATGAATACTGGCTTCACGCTTCGGAGCGTCAATGAAGTTTGTTTTGTCAAGATGGCACAGCGCTAACGACAGCTCATCAATGATGCTTGATGTTCTTGAGCCACCTTAATACTTTGCTTCTTTACATCCGGGCTATTCCAGGGTACCTGATGGGACAGAAAAAAACTGTGGGTCGCGCTGACAAAATGAGTTACTTCTCGCACTTCACAAATGGAGATATCGGCAGAAAATCAACAACGGAGTAAATTTGTAGACTCTCAGTTGATGTCATTTTCTTCAAGTTAAACATGTCTTTTATTATTTCCAGCTAATGAATTGTAAAAACTCAGCCTATCAACTCAACATATATCTATTTCTACAGGGCTACAATAGTAGAAGTCACTCATTTTTTTAGCACGTCTCACAAATGCCTCATCTGTCCAGTCAGTAACTGAAACTTAACACGTCACGGAATTTGCGTAAAGTATTTCTTTTTTCAAATGACTGCAGTTAATATGATTCTTAATGTCTCTTTCAAATGTTCTGTTAATTTAAAGTTGAAATAAATTAATTGATATTGAATGACAGTGTTATCATTGTAGGAAAGTATAGTCCAAATGTCCCGTCAGTTACTGTGGAATAGCGCATCCTTGAAACTGTTATGTCGGCTAGGGGGCGTACCGTCATCGGCAAGCTGTTCCAATGTGCGGAGCCCAGTGGACAAAATTTTACAGGAGAGAGAAAAACCTGTGTCCTTGTTTCAACAACTCGCTGCTCTAGAATTACAAAGTTCTATCTGCTCAGTACTTAGTTTGGAGAAATGTCACGTTGGAAATTTTGAGTTTTCACAACAAGACAAGCTTTTTACGAATGCGGTTGATTCTTTGAATATCTTGAAATAAACGACTCCGAATAGTCTTACAATTTTGATGGAGCAGATAGAACATTTGGTTTCTGACCACATGGTCTTAGTAACTCAAAACGGCCAAAAATGTCGGATAGAACTTCGTAATTCTAAAGTCGCGACTTGTACCGACACTATGTATTCTCTCTTGCTTCAATCCACATTTAGAATTTTGATTTTGAAAAAAATATTTCAAGAGCACCCTTGTAACTGATATCGCAGGTTAAGAATGTGAAGAAACAAAGTTTAGGTTAAGTACATTTGAACAGCTTGCCAGAGATAAGTTGTTTGTTTTTTTTTGGGGGGGAGGGGGGGGGGGGAGTTGCTCCTGATTCTCTTCTGTCCTTTTCCACAAAAACTCTTTCGACACTTAACTTTCTGTGGCACTGCATGATATTGATATCTATTGCTTGTGCTTTGACATTTCTTTTTTCCCTTTATAACATTTTTTCTTTTGGAGTTTTTGCTATGTTTTATGTTTTAATTTTGTAACAAAACATGCTGATGTGAGCGTATGGAGACTTTGTTGTGTTTATGAGCCGTGCTTTGTGGATGCTTTTGTCACTGCAGGAGAAATTGTCTTGGTGGATGATTGCTTTCTCTGCAGTGTTTTGTGGGTAAACTGTTTGTATTCCCCCCGGGGCGGTGCCACTGACTGTAGTGTCTTTAAGCCATTTCCG